GTCCTCAATCATTTTTTTAAATGGTTCATTAAAGCTGAATTGTTTAATGCACTGAAGAAGACCTTTATGGGACTTATGTTCTTCCTATTCCTTTTTAATTTTTGCCTCCTTTGTTTGCCCACAGCAAGCCATACTTAAAGAATCTTTACCAGGTTTCACATTCAGATGTAATGCTAACCTGTGATCAGTTCCAAATGGGGGGGAAAAGCTACTAAGTTTTAGCTCATGTCCATGCTGGTGGAAAGGAAGCAAGGCAAAAGCTAGAGGGCAGCTCTAAACCTGAACAAACTAGAAAAAAAGCATGGGAAAACTCAAGAGTCTTCACTTTTTTTTTTTCTTAGCTGCTCCCAATAAGTTGTCCTGCATTTTTCATCTCCAGTTTTGGTCAATCTAAGACAATTTGATTAGAAGTTTCTAAAGAGGGAACTAATCTAAATAAATTCTTGGGTGACATTCCTGATATACAACGATGAAGGGGTTTGTAGGCTGTCTTCTCTTGTGTCTTCAGAATAGTCTATAACCTTTCTATCTTCCCATATTTCATTTGAAATTTGTAGGAAGGCTTCATGAAAGCTTTGTTTTAACAACAATGGCATTGTGAACATTAAGGTGAATCCTACCTCTCAGAAATTGACAGAACACTTATCCTTTCATAATTCTGCTCACCTTTTTGGTGGAGAATTTTGACATGACATTTTGGGACAACGGTGGTTGGGTCTTTTTTCTCTTTCCCACTGATCAAGAGTTTACAACTAGGCCAGGAAATTATTTATGGCTGTGACATGTAGCAAAGCACTTGTCTACTGACAGAGAGAAATGAAAGCACTAAAAAAATGCAAGGGGCTGTTTAAAATGAATTTCTTATGAAAGCTATATTTGGGTTTAAAGTGTGTGACTAAGTAGATGATAAATATGATGCATATTTACCCATTCTCTGAATATTTCCAAATCCAGAACATATTTTAAAAACATGTTAATGATGGGAATCAGATGTAAAGGCACTGCTGACTGGATTGAAGGAATATACTGTACATATATCTCTCTCTCTCTCTCTCTCTCTCTCTCTCTCTCTCTCTCTCTCTCTGTGTGTGTGTGTGTGTGTGTGTGTGTGTGTGTGTGTCTGCTGTCTCCAAGTACTGCAACAGCTACTCTCCAGACCTTTTTATCTTTCTTATTGACAATTGTTACATCTGGCAGGTTCTTGTCTGTTTGAATTCTAAAGTACCAGATTGCTTTAGCTTCTTCCATTTTTATTGCTTTGCCTATTTCATGGTCCCACTAGTGAGTAGTTCTTGCTTCAGACAAATGGCATTTCTTTCAGATCTTCCAGTGCCCCATTGTTGCTATTTTGTCATGCCACTGCTTGTACGTAGTCTATATGATCCTCTTGGAGCAGCTAACTACGTAGTCCAATGTTTGTTCAGTTATCTTTATAAGGCTGCTCAAATTAGAATGAGTGATTAACATATTAAAAACAATGAACAAAAATAAATGCTAAAAATACATTATAAACAAGGTCAACCATCTATTATAAACAAGGTCAATTATCTCTCTAATTCCACCTCTTAAAGCTTGATCACCCAACACCTTGGCCCAGTGCTCAAAGGAAGACCATGTGTTTAATGTCTTGTGAAAGACTGGCAGAATTGGTATCATCAGGATCTCAGGGAATATAATGTTCCTCAGACACATTCTTGAGCTTCGTCAGGTGATTTTTTTTTTAATAGAGCATGCTCACTTTGTCAGATTTTGTGAATGGGCAGTGGTAACTAGAGATAAGGGTCTCACAACTACCCAGTCATGTGCCATAAAAATGACATAGTAACAACTAATAAATTGACTTGTATAGAGAAGCCTACTGAGAGTCAGTGTAAGGTACAAAATTGTAGCATTACATAGGTCTACAAAAGTGTACCCATAACCATCTCCCACTTCATTCTGGAACTCCTTGAAGCTTTTAAGTGCTCTTCAAAGGGTAGCCTAATGTATGGCATTACATTACAGTAATTCAGGCAAGTGACCAAGTTATGAGTGACCATGAACAGAGCCTCCCAACCCACGAATGGGCACAATCTGAACACATGTTGGGCCCTACAAGGGCCCTTCTGATCATAACTGTCACTTGCTATTTGTGTAAGAGTTGAGAGTATGGTAAAATCCTCAAATTGAACACCAGTTCTATCTGGAAAAGTGGTACCCAACACCCACTAAGGCACTAAGTTATCTAGGCCTGTCACCCCCTTACCCCCACCCCATCCACCACTACCCCACAGGCTCCATATATTGAGAAAGAATATTGATGACATCACTTGGTTGATAAGGACTGGGTACAACTGGATATAATCATCAAACTTGACTCCATACCAATGGAAGACCTTACCCAGCACTTCATGAAACTGGGAAAGAATAGAGTCCTGATGAAGCCTACAGAGAAGCAACTTAAAATTCCCCCTCCCCAAAAATATTGATGTGGGCCAACCCCAGAAGAAGGAGGAATATAATGCAGTACCTTTCATTCCCAACCAGTCCAGAAGGATTCCATAATTTATGGTATTGAAATCCACTGAGAAATCAAAGAGAACTAAGAAGGATGCCCAACACCATCTTGTTTCTGCCAAAAATCATCCACAGGTATGAACAATACTTGGCAATCTTGGGTCTGAAACTCAGCTTAAAATATTCCAGACAATCTGCTTCTTTTAGGCCCTCTGAAACTGAAGCCTGACCATCGTTTCTAAAAATGGTAGATCAGAAACAGGACTCAAGTTGTTCAGTACTGTTGACAGGCTGTCAGGATTGATGTCAACCCTTCAAGATAAGTAAGATCAGAGATAGGAATTGCAATGAGTCTTCTTACAATGTACTTTGTTAGGGTATCAGAATCTTGAAAGTTAAGGTCTCTATTTTCTCTAACACAATCAAGACAGAATCATTTTTAATTTATTTCTCACAGTTCTACGTTCCTAGGATTCAGATATCTATAATGGCATTTTCCTGATATTCTAGCACACAAAGCTGGAGTCCAATTCAGAGTAGATCCAAACAACTCTATCCATTAGATGCCTTAGAGTCTTCACAGTAGCCTCCCAGATGTTCCTCTGACTTCAGGCTCCCCAGAAGGGACAAGTCATGTGAATAGTGCTTCTGGCCAGCTATTTTTCAGATAAATTACATTCTGTCACTCTTATTGTCATAGTTCTTATTTAATATTATTAATTGTGTTTAGTTGGATTTGTTTGTCATCTTATTCCAACACAGCATTTAATCTTCCAAAGCTTCTATTAAAAAATGGGGGAATCTTTGGGATCCACATGGGAGAGATTATACAAGTGCCATCTGAAGCAAAGCAGACAACACTCTCTCATTTCAAGTGATGAGTAAGACCAGAGTTGAACTGTGCATCAGAGCATTAGGAATAATCCAACACTTCTTCTGAAACCCAGAATGGTCCTGGGTTGGGGTTGACCAATTGCATAGGACCTACATCCCATGGCAGGGGATATCGGCAGAGAACTGCAAGGCAATTAAAGAGTGGTTTGATTATAAGGATTACCACTACTCCACCCCCCATCCACAGAGAGAGAGAGATCATATCACTATTGCCCCGTGACAAAAAAACCCTCCAGATGTAACATTGTGATCTCCATTATTTGTTGAACTTTCAGTGACCTGGATCAAATCAATGCCCAGTGTCCGATTGCCATAGACACCATGAATTTTTGAGCTACTTCAGACTCCACACTCGGAGAGAGGCTGATTCAGTAGCAACAATTCTCTCTGATCCCTAGAACCCAATTTCACAATCAGGTTCTCACATTTTCCCTACTTTGGAGTCATGGCTAATGCCACACTTGAAACACAACAGGCTATATTTCCAAAAAATAAAGCCTCCATGCTCATCCAGGGGCTTCCCCCCCTTTTTTTTAATTAAAAAGGTGCAGATTGCTACAAAGAGAAGTCTGAAGTATGGAGAAAATTGAGTAACATGTAAAATTAATATGGGCTTCAAAGCAGCAGATGTATCTATCCAGTTAGCAGATAATTGTGAATAATAGGAGTGGGGCAAGAGAGAAGAGAGAGGCATTATTTCCCTACAGTGAAAGTCAGAGAAAAGACAGAGATTCAGTAGAATATAATCAAGTTATTCTGTTTCACTTTCCCGTTCTTCTCTTCTAGGAATCATTCCTATTGGATTGTGCCTAGGCAAATTCATTAATCAGCAAGGCAAGTTATATTAAATTGCAGTCTTATCAAACTATAGATACACCACAAGCATAACTGAATGAGTAGAATGGACAAAAGGACTTATCTATTAAATAAAAAATGAACAAAGCCCACAAGAACAGAAATAATAAAGCAATTCTTGAATTAATCACAACAATAAGAAAGAGATGGGTACGTATCACTCAATGAGCCAGTAATGCTATTTAATTCATTAGTTGTGGATTGAGAGAGGCAAACAATTGGATTAATTTATCAAGCAGTCAATCAGCAACAAGGTAATCAATCATTCCAGGAAATGAGAGAAAGTACACAGAGAATCCAGGTGTAGTCCCTGTGGCATTTTCCAAATGAAGCTGGAGAAGAAACAAAACACACATAGGACTGTGTATCCTTCTGTACAATTGTATTTTTAACCTACTTCTTTTTGAAGCTTCAGTAAGTAAATGGCTTCTGCTTTAAATGCTGTCTGCATTTTATGTCTTTCATTCGTGTTTCCATTCATACCAGCCTGATCCACTGTGCTTTTCATTCATATTATTGAAGATGCCACTGGCATGATAAACCTCTTTTTGGATTGCTATCTAGTTGAATTATAATCTGCTGATGCAGCTTTTGTATCACGCTTCTCTTTTTCATATCCAGCCTTTTTCCTACAGCTACCAGATTCTGAGCACCATTGGCATCCCTTGCCTTCCTTCCAGGCCAGCCATCTGCAGAAAAAGACATCTGTTTCCTCATCTAATCCAGAAGGATGACTAGAACTCAGACCACATTCAGATGCATCTTTATTCAGGAATTTCTGGGCAATAAAATATCTTAATAAATTTACCCAGGGATTACACATACATCCATCATTTTGAAAACAAACAATTTATGTAAACCCATACATACATAACAGTTTATGAGAAACAGAGTTCAAACAATTGTTTGTGGGCTGAAAACTCAGCAAGCAAAATCAATTCCTTTTATTTCTTTTGGAGAAATTAAAAAAATACACTTCTGTTATACATGATAGCTAAAAAACAGAAAGCAGATTGTGGATCTGTGAATGACGCAAGGACTGCCCATAAGAATTTGAGGAAAGCAAGGCAAACTTTTCACAAAAGGAGCATTTGGGAAGAAAATTATTTGGTGCCCCACAAAAGCTTCTCTCCAGTGCTGGGTTGGAAAATGAGGCTGTAACTGTAAAAAGAAGGAAAGAAAAAGAAAGATTGAGAGATTTGAACATGATTTCATATGCCTTTAGATAAAAGCAATTACCTGCACAAACGTTTTGGTGAAATTTAAAAACCTGTGAAAGATATATCTGTCTCTTCTGAGCCTGATCTGTGAGCAATCTCTTCAGCATTTGTCTAATGTTCAGACTGATGTTTAATCTAAAGGATAACCAAGACAATAATAGAAATGGAAAGAATAAGAGGGTTTGCCATGATCTTGCACTAAACCAGAGGTCAGCAACCTGCGGCTCTGGAGCCGCATGTGGCTCTTTCACCCCTCTGTTGCAGCTCCCTGTCACTCAAAATATGCGTCACAACTGCCAATGTGTGATGCCCACTGGCACAAGATTTATTGAGCTTTTCAACCTCCGGTAGGCCAACCATGGATAAATCCAAGAAAAGAAAAGTTTCAGAAGAAAACAGAACATTTAATTCAACTACATATGCTAGTTCTGTGGCCGCTCAGGAAATAGGCATGGGAAGAGTTTTGCGGCTCCAGAGTTTTCTTTTCTGTGGGAAATGGGTCCAAATGGCTTTTTGAGTGTTTAAGGTTGCTGACCCCTGCACTAAACCATTAAAGAAGATTACATTAACAGTTAATCTCCGTGGTTGAAAACAAGGACAAAGTACATCACCCCAACATGATTTAGGAACAATTGGCGAAAAAAAATCTACCTCCATGTGTAGATAGTTCAATTCTTATAATTGCTGACTTTCCAGAACACTTGTTCAAGGGTGCCCCATATAAAGCAATGCTGGGGCAATGTCTTCTGCAGAGGTGGATTCTATTTTTTTTTACTACCGGTTCTATGGGCATGGCTTATTTTGTGGGCGTGGCTTGATGGTCATGTGACAATTATTTAGGATTTAGCAGAGGTACTGGTCTACCAGGCTTTTAACTGCTTGCAGAGCTGTACCAATCTACCCATTTATTTTTGCAGGCACTGATCTACTCATGTATTTTTGCAGGCACTAGTCTACCCATTTATTTTTGCAGGCACTGATCTACTCATATATTTTTGCAGGCACTGGTCTACCCATTTGTTTTCTTTTAACACTGATCAGCTGTAGGGCGGCCCTTTGAAGCCCCAGGGCAAGAGTTTAAACAGGTTTTTTCCCTCTAACCATCAACTGGAACTCAGGAGGCAGCAATAGATTTGGGGTGGGGCTAAATAAAAGGTAAGAATAATGCAGGGGTGGGGGGGCGGGGGCCAGGGAGGCAGAACCGGTTCATTGACGTCATATCGTCACCGCTACCGGCTCGGCAGAACCGGGCTGAACCGGGAGGAACCCACCACTGGTCTTCTGTCCATAATTAGGAATACTCTGTTCTGAGAATTGTTGCTCTATGTCCCTGCAGCAAGGAATGCTAGGAGCCTGATTTCTGAATTCCTCCATATTATAATCTATGCAACAATCTTGTTTACTTATGTGCTCCTGAAATTAGAACCAGGCTGTTTACCTCTATGCATGCCAGACAGCAGACTTGGATGGATACATGCAAACACATTTATTAGACAGATTTACAGCATCTGTATCAGCAGGCCTATTGTTCAGCGCTTTGCCTCCCAGTTTAAAATGCTGCTATAAATTCAAAGCTCACTCTCTGATTGAGACACAGGAGACCTAAAATATTGCCAATATTGATGCATTATTCATGTGGTTTTTCTGCCCATTTCCATCTCTTCTTATGACAATACATTTCTATTGTTTCTGAATTGTTTTATCAGTAAGTAGTCAAAAATTTCAGAAGCATAGAACTGTAAAGCTGGAAGATTCATCACCCTAGATTTAGCCAGGAATCTATGACCCATAGAAATTCTTACCGCACAAGTGTTTCCATTAGCTTTCCTGGGAATATTTCTTTTTAAGTATAGTTCACATTAGTGTGGGCCATTGTGTCACCATCTACTACAATGTAAGCAGCATGTCAAATAAGTGTTGTCAGGCCTGTGATAAATTTTCCTGGGCATCAAATCAGTTGTTCATGTGAAACAGAATTGAGCCCATTATCTCAAAATGGAAGCTATTTAAATAAAAGCGGACAATTTGAATTTATGAACCCTTGATTGCTGTATTAAATTTAGTTTAGTTGTATAAAGATCCAGGAAAAGCTCACAAAATAATTATATTATAGCAATATTATATTGGGTCTTGCCAAGTGTCTGCATCATAAATTTCAGAAACTGGATTACTGTATATAAGATGAGAGCTTGAATGTGAGTTTTTGATATATCTACATGGTATTCACCTAATAAAACATACCAGGATCTAACATCAAATAACGGTTAAGCAAATATGACAATAAAACTGTTATTACATTTAAGTTTGTATCTATAAAATATGATTACCGTAAGACAGAATGCAGAATAGGATATTAAGAACTGTAACAGACTATAGGAAAATAGCAAGATAATTTAGAACTACCTTGGCATTATCTGTTTCATAAATTAGCAATAGCATTTAGTAATAGCATTTAGGTTTATATACCACCCAATGGCACTTTACTCTCTGAGTAGTTTACAATGTAAGCATTATTTGCATATTGCCGCCAACAATCAGGGTCCTCAGATGACTGACTTTGGAAGGATGGAAGGCTGAGTCAATCTTGAGCCCTGTCAGGATCAAACTGAAGACTGTGGGCAGAGTTTGCCTACGATACTGCACTTTGACCCCTACACCACCAGAAATTTCAACTCTTTTGTTTTCTATCACTTAATACTAATTAAGTTGAGGAATAACATTTTCAACAGTCCAATAAGTATAAAGATCTGACCAAGCAATATTACATTTGTACACTGGCCAAGCAATATTAAGTTGTGTACTGTACTGTACATGGACTCACAGAGTTATTAGACAGCCAGTTTGATCTAGTGGTTAGGGCTCTTCCTCATCAGCCACCTCTGGACCTGGGGACTGTTGACTCTCCATCTGGGGGCTAATGGACGGCCCAGGGTCCACTTCTATCTCTAACCAACTCCATTCTCTCTTCCCCCTCAGAGCTCTCAGATTGCCTTGATGCTGGCCCTGACTCCCCCTGCCAGAGGGAGATGGCAGGCGACAAGCCACAACAACTCCATCATCACAACCACTGCCCAAAAAAATCCCAGCCTTGGACATCTTCCCAAAATTTGGAAACAAAATGTTATTTTTAATGCTATAAATGGGCAAATAGTTGGATGAATATCTGGAATGTAACATTTCTACAGTTCAATGAAATGCAGAGTGACATTTTGTCCCATCTACTAATTTTAATAGGGTGGATCTTGGTCCACCATTCAAAGGCTAGGGCAGTCAAGAAAAAATTGGGCATCCCATTATAGTACATTGAGTGAGTAGCTTCTGGGCCTTGGAATCCTATCATTGATATGTGTATAGCAATGGGGCAAGTTCTGGGTCTAGAATCTGCTCTTTTTTTCTATGGCTTTTTTATTCAAGACTCCCTTGAAATATTCTTCAGGCTGTTTATGGAGGGTGAGAGAAGATTGGACTTAAAGGTAGTTCTTGCTGGTCAACTGTCTCACTTAGTGGCTGTTCAAAGTTCCAAAGGTATAAAAAAACACCCCATATTTACAACCATAGCAGCAACCTGTGATTACATCAGTGGTGGGTTCCTCCCGGTTTGGCCCAGTTCTGCTGAGCCGGTAGCAGTGACGATATGACATCACCGAACAGTTTCTCTTTGTTCGGGAGCTGGGCCCTCCCGGCCCCCCCACCCACGTTATCTTATCTTTTATTTGGCCCCCAATCTATTCGCTGCCTCCCGAGTCCCAGCTGATCAGCTAGAAGGAAAAAGGTATTTAAACTCTTGCCGCAGGGCTTCAAAGGGCCGCCTTATAGCTGATCACTGTTAAAAGGCAGTGTGGTGGTAGATCAGTGCGCTCAAAAAACAAATGGGTAGATCGGTGCCTCCAAAAACAAATGGGTAGACCGGTGCCTCCAAAAACAAATGGGTAGACCGGAACGCTCCAAGAACAAATGGGTAGACCAGTACAGCTCTGCAAGCAGTTAAAAGCCTGGTAGACCAGTACCTCTGCTAAATCCTAAAGAATTGTCACATGACCATCAAACCATGCCCACAAAATAAGCCATGCCCACAGAACCAGTAGTAAAAATTTTTAGAACCCACCCCTGGGTTACATGGTTGCTATTCATATGCTTCCCAACCAACTTGAGACAAGTAATGGAGAATACAGAAGTAAATGGAGAATGCAAAACTTCCTGTCACATGATGTGTCACTTAACAGCTGTAGTGCTTCACTAATGACCAAATGGGAAGCGATGCTATAAGCTTATAAGTGATTTTCCACTTAGCGACCATGGCACTGAGCAACAGAGTTGCCAGTCCTAGTTGTGGCCCCTAAGTGAAGACTACTTATACTCTTTACATGCATGAGGTAACTGACAATTTTATCCTCTTCTTTCAGCAATGGGGACTTATTTCTGGAGAGATGACTTCTTCTCTGATGCTTCTGTAAAGGGTAGGCCATCTGTGGAAACATATGACAACATTAGGAGAAATTAAACAAGGGCAGCACTAAAAGAGTGTGAAGTTAGACATCCTTTCTCTTTCTGACAGCAGCAATTTTGCAAGCTATAATTAAATTACTCACTGACATCCTGATTTCACATTTAAATTCTGTCAATTATTTTTCCTCCTTAAATAACGAACAAAAAATATTTTTACATTCTGTTGGAATATTAAAAGCTAATACATTTACTACAAAAACAACTGAAAAATTGCCATTGGTACTGCCTATTGGGCAGTGAGAGCACTACCCACCAGAAGGCTTCAAAGGACCAGTTAAAGGACCAGGCCAGGATATTGTCTGAACCCGTCATTAAGGTTATTTTGCCTATTCTGTTGTTGTGGGCTTTCTTCCTGGCAAGGCTGTTTCTATTGCTGTCATTTAATTAATTTAAAGCTTCCTGTAAATTTGTTTCATTGACAAAAACAATTTAACTGGTCTACATGCCTCAAATAAGGATCTTGAAAATCTGCTGCTATGTGAGTTTTGGCGTGTGGAAGCCAATTTTTATTAGGCCTCTAATCCTTTGGAACAGCTTCCCCGTGCCGGCCCTTTTTCCATATGCTATCCTTCCTCATGGTGTTCAGAAAAGCAGATAAGAACATTCACATCGGTGCCCAAGGAAGGTCATCAAGAAATAATGTGTTTGAGGACTTCAGTCATATAAGTAGTTGCTTTTTGATATTTTAATTGCATTTATTCAGTGAATTGTTCTTTAAATGCTGCAAATGCTGCAACAATGGTGCCCACATATATCTGCCCAACATGTGGTAGAACATTTCATGCCCTTATAGGCCTTACCAGCCACCTGCGGACACATCATGGACAGCTCACAACCTGTTAGATGTCAAAGTCCTCTTCAAACACGATGGACGAATATCATCTTTAAATGGACAATTGTAACTGATATTTGTAGCTCAGGGTTGAACTTTACAATTGTTCTGTAGGGTCCTTGATGCTCTCTAGGTTTGGTTGTTTTCTTGCAGATATTTCATTATCAAACTTGGTAGTGTTAGCACTGATGATGTTGCCTAGTTTGGTAATGAAATGTCTGCAAAAAAAAAACCCAACCCAACAACAACTAAGCTCAGAGAGCACCAAGGACCACATAGGACAATTGTAAACTACTGAGAGTCTTGTTGGAGTACAGCAGTCTACCAATAGCATAAATAAATATTGTTTTGTTAGCAACTTCTTTTACTGGATGCAATGAATATTTTTGTGAGTATTATATGTACCTATGTATATGCTTCTTCCCCCCCCCCTCTTCATTGCTGTATACAAGAGAAAGAGAAAGGTAAACAGTGTAATATAAGGGAAATTAAATGCAGGAGATTAAGAAAGTAATTGTTACCTTTTGATAATGTCCATTCACAAAAAGTTGCTAATTGTGCAACACACATGCTTCTTGCATTGGCAAACTGATCAGCATATGTAATATGTTTTTGTTTCATTTTGGATAATAAAGTCCATAATGCCCAATGTCTTAATATATATGTTTATCTTTCAGGTACTATAAAATTGTTTTGCTGAAACAGGCTAACATGACTACTTCTCGGAAAATATTTTGCAACAATATTGTATAGTTTTCTTTATTAAGTTCTAAAAATGCAACATATGTTTGCAAATAGTTCATGCATAAGTTCTCAAAATACATCTCCACTTTCACATTCTCAATTAGCTTCTATAACAACTGACATTATAGCCTTCTACAAAAGAAAATTGGATATAGAATGTTTGTTGGCCTTATTGCAGTTGGAACAGATTGTGTAAATAATAAGCATCTACCTCTTTTTTTTTTTTCTTTGTGGGTTTCTTTCTCCAACTATATTGTTCATATTGTGTAAGAAAATTTAGATCTTTCCTTGCAAACAGTAAGAATATTTACATCATTACAATTAAAAGAAGAAAAAAAAGAATGCTGTTTCGATAGAACTTTTGGCTGCTTTGATTATCTGGGAGCTAAGATTTTAGGCAGCATTGAAATAATATTTTTAGTCTACAACAGAAGTTATATTTCTCCAATCATTTTGGTTCTGCTGTGCCAGATGTTGTTTCCTTGACTTTATTCGTTTTGGCTCTTTCACCCTACATGAATACATTTGTTCCCACATCTTTTCTTTAACAAGAAAGAAATCTTGTTAAATCTTCTATTTTCACAATTGGTTGTCTTATGCCAGAACTGTTTTCAAGATACGCTTAGGTAACAACTTGTTATGCAAGCAACATAGTGAGTTTGTTGCAGAGTCATTGTACAACATCTTCCCATGCCATATCAAAGAAGTCTTAAAATTAGTTTAACATTATTTTGGATATTTGGATACAAGGCAAGCAAAAACCAATAGGATTTCAGAATATGCCATTACCATTTACCTAGTTAACTCCTTAGTGTCTGTGTGTGTATATATGCTTAGCTTGAAAAAAAAATCTCTGAATCCCATGTTCTTAAACTCATTTTTGCAACCGAGAAAAACTGTCTCTCTATTTTGGTATGTGTATAATTCAGATTCTTCCTCTACTGCAGTTTTCAGAAAGATTAATAAAGCAGTCAACCTAAGTATCACTCTAAAGATATCCTCAACAGGAAGCAATAATATAATTCTTGAATTCCTGATTTAGGCCAATTATTTAAACATGGATTAAAAAATAATAATAAAATGGAAATGGATTACAGTCAAACTGAAGTGGATTACAAATAGGGTAAGAATGGATTTAGAAGACCTCTATAATGTGGGTTAAAATGTGTTTTTAAAAGGCAACAATGCTGTTAAAAATAAGCAAACTAAATTTTATTAGACATACACACTAAATAGTGGATTAACCTAGATTAAAATGAATTGAATTAAAATATAAACATATCTATTTACTGTTGTCATTTTACTCTCCTTCAGTATCTGGATACTATTTCAATGTTGCTTGAGTCCTGTCTGTTTAGCTATAATTAATGTTACTCTCTACTGATTTAACACCCACAATTAACTGTAATAAGCACAACTGGTTCCTCTGAAAAAAAATATAGGTAAAGTTAAGGAATGGAGTTTTCCAGAATTCCATTCCTTCTTAACTTTAAATATCTATATTTTTAAATTCCAAAGAAACAATCTGTTGCTGGTTGTTGAACTCATAGACTCCTGTTGGGGATCTACAGGGCCTTGAAATGAAATAATAGACAATGATGGGTTGACAGGTCTCAACTGCAAAATCAAGCCACAAACCTTTCTAATATTTGTGTTTCTCAGAGACTGGTGAAATTAGATAGAAAGTTTGTCTGTGCAAGATCAAGCAGGCACAGCAATCTGCCTGCTTTTTCAATGGTTGCTACCAATAGTCTGATGATAAGAGCTTGACAACAAACCCCACCAGATTTTTAATATAATGCTTGACATTGTCCAAAGAAAAAAAGGCATTCAGATGACTGGACATGATTGGACATAAAAATAATTTGGAACCATGTGACTTATTATTTCCTGAACATATAAATAACTACTTTATGTCATAGTTGAACCAGCGGGTCAGTTAGATGGATCCATCTGAGGGGATTATCTTCAAAAAAACTTTCAAATCCATTTTTAGATGATGTTCATAACCATTTAGTTAATGACTATGTCAATATTGAGGGTAAACACAGTGAGACGTAGGAATTGGACCTAGGCCATGTCAGATATCTGCTATGGGCTGTTTCAAGGATCAAAGATTTATAAACAACAATTAAAGGCAGTGTTTACAACAGAGGTTGAAATGATTAAGAAAGTAGAAATCTAATATGCAAATATGCTTACTCCAGAGTAATAACACTAAAATCCTATTGGAAATCTGAGCAGTTACACTAATAACTAAAATATCTCCTCCTTTATTTAAAATCAAGATTGATTGATTGATTTTGGCTCTCAAATGACAGAATACTTTTCCATACCTGTTTTAAGCTGCTTCTTGTGGATAATTATTTTTTTCTGTAATCGAGTTCACATAATAAACTCTTGAGAACTGGAGATAATTTTATGCTGTGCATTCTGGAGAGTCTCAGAGTTATTAAAAAGCTGATATTCTATTACATTTTTTTAAAACCACCAGCATTAACTACATTTGTTCTTTAAATGATCAGAAGAGTGAGAATCAGAAATAATCCTTCATAGAAAATGATTAACACTAAGAATTGATTGATACATGTTCAAAAGATAAAGTTATGTTTAGGCTTCTTATATAAAAGATGATAAAAAGAGATAAAAGTGTGAGAATAAAAATTACATAGCTTCTGATCAATGTGTTCAATGCAATTGATTAACTCCAAAGACTATACAAGGTGAAAGTGCTACCTCAGAAATGAAAGTGATGAAAGTCATTGTAAATATTATGTCTTATATGTATAAAATAATCAAAAGTGTGAACTTGCTTTTCGGAAAAAATAATTGTATCTGAATATTTATGGCCTTTTTCATTTTGTCTTTCCCTATACATCCTACTATAATTAAGTCAGTCTTCCATCTCTATTTCCTAATGGGAATATTTTAAAGCTCTTTCAGGGAATCCAATATTTTAATTGTCTATGCTTCCTACAGTGCTAATATTCCAAGAATTTTTCCCTTCTGCCCTAGTATTAGAGATTATCCTTCTCACTTTGCCTGAAGAACATTTTTAATTTGCATAGGACTGAAATTAAAAATAAAAAAGACCAAACATTTTAAGACACGTTGAAGAAGATGGCTTCTCAGTAGTCTCATAAATTCCATTTAAAGCAGAACACAGCTACTTTATGTAATGTATATCTACAATGTTAATGAATGCAGGGTCAAGATAGAAAAACTACAGCTTCCTTATGTTAGAGTATTTCTATTATACTGTTATGTAATCAAAGGGTTTAAGTTGGACTATTTTCTTTGGGATGGTTAATGCTAATTATCCCCAATATTGTTCTCAGTGGCTCTAGAAAGTTTGATGCCTTTTGATAAATGATTTTGGAGATAATATTAGTTTGCTGTTCATGTCTTTCTCTCTGCCTATGCCTGCATTTTATTTCAGTTTTGCAGCTAATCTTTTTTGTTGTTTGTTAATGTTTAATAAACACACTATATTTTTCACTAGCTGAACCGGGTTGTGTGTGTGCTTGTTCTGATACGGATTCAGGGGTTGATTGGTAATGTGCTGGGTGCAAACTAAAATGGAAATTACCCAAGGTAATTTTCCAATACTCTGAACATGTAAATAATGTGTAATAGATGTCATGGCTTGCTCTCCTTTGTTCGCG